TCAAGGGGTTCTACTGCCTCTGCCTCCTAGAATGCTAGGATTACAGGTGTGAGCCACCACACCTGGCCTGAAATTCTTAAGGCCTTATCTTTGACTTTATGTCTTTTAAGGGAGTCTGATAGGACAATGCAACACACATGTGAGCAGCAGATACACAAGATAAGCGGTGCTCTGTTCCTTGCCACCACACATACAGCATTTGTAAAGCCTCATGAGCTCAGAATTCTGGGAGACCCACTAAGTGTGAGAGTTCAGCAAAACTCAAAGTTGAGTATAAGGTAAGTGCACATCTCTGACTGACCTGGAGGCTAAGCTTTCAGCTTAAACTAGATTTGCCTCAAGTGCATAAAGAAGATAGCAGTGTCCTAAGAAAAGTAAATGAACCAAGAACCCTTCAGCACCCTTTTTTACTCTTATCACTGCCCCCTACCCTGCATTATCCACCCATTTATGCTCTAAAGGATGATATAGGGGAAAGGGAAATATGGGGTAACCAACCAATTCTTTTCCTTTCTGTCCTTTCCTACTCAGTGGTGAGTGACAATGCTGGTAGAATGTGCCTGTATTAAGAAATGAAAAGGGCTCGGCGCCTGTGGCTCAAGCGGCTAAGGCGCCAGCCACATACACCTGAGCTAGTGGGTTCGAATCCAGCCTGGGCCCACCAAACAATGACAGCTGCAACCAAAAAATAGCCAGGTCTTGTGGCAGGCACCTGTAATCCCAGCTACTAGGGAGGCAGAGGCGGAGAATGGCTTGAGCCCAGGAGTGGGAGGTTGCTGTGAGCTGTGATGTCACAGCACTCTACCCAGGGTGACAGCTTGAGGCTCCGTCTCAAAAAAAAAAAAAAAATAGCTGAGTTGGATTTGTGTGACATTTCCACTGTAACCCATGTATACTCTAAGAAATATGAAACTAGTTTTAGTAATTCCATATATGAGTTAATTTTTTAATTTAGAATGACATTAAATAGCAAACCAAAAACATCACAGGTCAATAGAGAGATCATGGAAAAAAGGAAAACTTCATACTTTAGTACCTTTAATGGCAATTTTTTCTGGCTTTTTTTTTTTTTTTTCAGCTAGAGTTTCACTCTGTTGCCCTGGGTAGAGTGCTGTAGCATTATCATAGCTCATAAAACCCCAAACTCTTGGTAGGTTCAAGCATTCATCTTGCCTCAGGCTCCTGAGTAGCTGGGACTATAGGTGCCCACCATGATGCCCAGCTAGTTTTTCTATTTTTAGTAGAGATGGAGGTCTCACTCTTGCCCAGGGTGGTCTTGAACACCTGAGCTTAAGCAATCCACCTGTCTCAGCCTCCCAAAGTGCTAGGAGTTCGGGTGTGAGCCACCACACCTGTTTTTTTCCTGCTTTTTGAACAAGAGGGTTTTTACACTGGGCTCTGCAAATTATATAGCTAGTATAGGAACCAGCAGGCTCAAGCCCTTGTCCACAGAAGGGAAGCTGAGGCTTGTGTGAGGGTGAGGTGAGAAGGTAATCAATTATTAAAGCTATTTAAAAAGACAGAGAGATTCTGACTGATTAAACCTGAGACAGAAAAGTCTAGGCTGGAGTGTGGTGGTGTCATCATAACCTTGAACTTCTGGGCTCAAACATTATTCTTGCCTCAGCCTCCTGAGTAGCTGAGTAGTTGGGACCACAGATGTGCACCACCACACTCAGCTAATTTTTTTTTCTTTTTTTTGAGATGGAGCATCACTCTGTGGCCCTGGGTAGAGTGCTGTGGCATCATAGCTCATAGCAACCTCAAACTCTTGGGCTCAAGCCATCCTCATGCCTCAGCCTCAGGAGTAGCTGGGACTACAGGTGCCCACTACAATACATGACTATATTTGTAGAGATAGGGTCTTGCTCTTGCTCAGGCCGGTCTCAAACTCCTGAGCTCAGTCAATCCACCCACCTTGGCCTCCCAGAGTGCTAGGATTACAAGCATGAGCAACCGTGGCTGGCCACACTCAGCTAATTAAAAAAATTTTTTGTAGGGATAGAGTTATGTTACCTAGGCTAGTCTCAAACTCCTGGCCTCAAGGTATCCTCCCACTTTGGCCTCCTAAAATGCTGGGATTATAGGTTTGAACTATTGTGGCCAACCCACAGACTTTTTCTTTAGGAAAAAAAGAAAGAAAATATTTGTGTACATCTACACGCAACAGATACTGATTTTTTGAGAGTGGTTCTCAGTGGTAAAAAATACCAGTAATCCTTAATGGTTCTTTTTCTTATCTGTATTTTCTGATTATTAGGTAGTGAACATAAGATGTTTTTGTACTCAAAGAAAGAGAGGTTGGGAAGGGAGGAGGAAAGAAAGAGAAAGAAAGAAACTCTAAAAGAATCATGTGGCTCAGGAATGAGATTATTTCCTCCCACTCCCCTCCACGACTACACACACACACAAAGTCCCCTACTGTTGGATAGTTAGGTTGCTTTTATTTCTTCTTTTTTTAAAAACATCAACCAGTATAAGAACTGTTGGTTGAAAAGGAAATACAAATGCAAAAAAGGCAGATACTGATTTTAAAAATAAATGAAAAGTAGACATGCATGCTTAAAGATATATTAAGAGTTACAAAACTTGGGGCAGTGCCTGTGGCTCAGTGGGTACAGTGCCATATACCGAGGGTGGCAGGTTTGAGCCCTGCACCGGCCAAACTGCCACAAAAAAATAGCCAAGTGTTGTGGTGGGTGCCTGTACTCCCAACTATTCTGGAGGCTGAGGCAGGAGAATCACCTAAGCCCAGGAGTTGGAGGTTGTGACGCCACGGCATTCTACTGAGGGTGATAAAGTGAGACTCTGTCCCTAAAAAAAAAAAGAGTTACAAAACTGCCCAAAAGTACATCAAAAGTGTCCATTTGATCATTTGAAATTACTCCTGGAGAGGGCAGACTGTAGCAGACGGGGTGGGGCGGCAGGTGCCAGACAAGAAGGAAATTTCCACCATTTTGAGGAGAGTCACTTTCTTCCTCATTCATTCCCTTACAAGTATTGAGTCCCGGCAACATGTAGGTGCTGGAGATACAGTGACTGAAATAGACCAGGTCACCGCCCTGCCCTCCTGCCACAACCATTCCACATGAGTGGGGAACTTGAAGAGATTGCGAGTCTTCTCTAAAGGTCACTCAGCAAAAACCCTCCCTTTGCCTGGGCTGGGGAAATGGCTGGGCTCCGGTGGACCTTGTGTTGGCTGCCTGATTGCCAAGGCCCTGTGGTTCTGAGGCTGAAATGGTGCAGAGCCTGTAGGTGGGGAACCCTGGGGGATTTGGAACAATGGTGGGAGGGCAGCAGGGGCCTGAGCATCCCTGCCTCCAAGCTGTCTCCTGCAAGTCCCTCACCTGGGATATCCTTCCCTTTGCTCAAAATTCTGCCCTTGATCCAACCTTCCTGCTCCAAGAAGCCTTCCCTGACTACCTTATCTCCTCCTCTCTCATCCTGATCTAGACACACAAACACTGAGAGTGTCTAACACACAAGAGCATATCTAACACCTGGATACTCTGGTTAAATCACCCAAGTGTGATGAGAAAGAGGATATTTGCATAGTCTCAAAGTAGCTCCTTCACAAGATAGCCACTAATTACAAAGGAAGTGGAGAAACCTGTCCCAACTTCACCTTAGGCCAATGATCGAAATAAAACTTCATATACGTCATTTGCTTTTTTTTTTAAAAGAAAAAAATTGTGTGTGGTGGGGACAGGGACAGGGTCTCATTCAGTCTCCCAGGCTCACTCTGTTACCTCACCCTCACAGTGAGAGTAGCTCACTGTAACCTCAAACTCTGAGCTCAAGAGATTCTCCTGCCTCTCAAGTAGCTGAGACTACAG